CATGATACGTGGCGGGCGCGCGTGCGAGCAGCGGAGAGGTGTGAGAGGAGGAGGAGGAGGAGGAGGAGGAGGAGGAGGAGGCTGCTGCTGGGGATGCGCGCGAGGGTCAAGTGGACGCGAATGTGAATAATCCCGGCCCCAACACTCGCGCGCGCGCGTGTGTGTGCTTTTTGTGTTCTTCCGCGAGGCTTGGCGCTATTAGCGTCACGTGATGCGCTTTGCACACCTTATGACCGAGCCGGCGCGCTCGACTCGACTCGACTCGACACGCCAATCTCGGAGTTAGTGGGCCGGGCGCAGGCATGCAGCTTTCATGCTGCTGCAGCTGCAGGAACTCGCTCGCTCGCTCCCTCACGCGTGCGCCCTCCTCATGAATGCCCCCCACCACCCACTCACCACCATCACTCGTGCGCTTCATTGCGGCCAAGATGACGTCGAGCGCGACAACATCTACCGTCTCCTCCTTTGCTACTCACAGTCTTGCGACGGCTGCTGCTGCTGATGCTGCTGCACCGGCAAAGAAGCGCAATCGCGCCATTCTCTCGTGTTTGGTGTGCCACGAAAGAAGGGTGAAGTGCGATCGACAATTACCATGCGCACCTTGTAGGAGATACGGAGCGGTTTGCACCTATGCTGCCCCACCTTCCACCTCTACCAAGCGCAAAAAGGCAGCAGTGGGACTGTTGCGCGCCAATGAGAGGGATGAGGAGCAGGAGCAGGAGGAGGAGGAGCAAGGGGAGGCTCGCACGTCCACCAAGGACAAACCTTTTCGCGGATTCATGCAGCAGTTCGAGGAGCAATTTGCCGCTCAGGAGGAGCAAGAGGAGGAGCGGGATGAGCGGGAGAAGGAGCGATCGATGCTTGCCGCCACTACGCACGACGAGAGCACCGCATACACGCCGTGCGACGTGGCCAGGATGCAAGCGTGCTGGAAACGCTTGCCGTCGCAAAAGGTGTGCGAAGAGCTCATCAGCTTCTACTTGAGCAACGTCGACTACATGTACGGTGCTGCTGAGGCTGGACGAGACTCGCTGTCCGCTTGGATGAGGGGCTTGATGGATCGCTTTCAACCCGGCACCGCGCAGATCTGTCCCTTGCTGCTCAATCACCACGACGCTAGCAGGATGGCATTCGTAGCGACAACGATGCTAGCAGCCGTTCAGATGCTCGATCCGCAACGGGCCGTATTGTGTCTTGTGGATTTGGACCCCACCTCGAATCTCTTTGGTGCAGCAGCAGCAGCACCGGACAAGTCGTCCACTCGAGCCTTGTTGGAGAGCACAGCGCTGGCACTGCTCGACTTGGCCATCGAAGCGGACGAGGCCTCTCCTTTGCAAGTCAGAATCAATCTCATCCTGCTGCACTATTTCAAAAACGAAGGGAGGAGCGCGACGCCTACGGCCAAGATGCTCGTCAGGCGCAATGCTCAAGTCGTCCGAGCTTGCAAACTTCACCTCGACCCGCCCCTCGACTCGCCAGAGCTGGAAAGTCTTCGAAACCTCTTTTACACGTACTACATTTACGATCGGTGAGTGGTGCTTGCGCGTGCGCGTGCGCGTGTGTGTGCGCGATTTGCGTCACTCAACTACGCGCCCTCGCGATTGCTGCAGGTACAGCTCGGTCAACTTTGGAGCGCTACCTGCGATTGCGGATCACGAGATCACCACGCAGCCACCTGTTCCAGAGCATTTTTCCAGCGCAACAAATGTAGGACTGGGCGCATCTCCCAAGATTCGTCTTGCCAAGATTGCAGGCGACATGGCCAGCGCCATTCATCGTGCTGAGCTAGACGATGCCACGATCGACCGCTTAGACGCGGAGCTGGTGGAGTGCGCCGACAATCTGCCCTGCGCTTACGCCCTCAGCTCTACGAACGACGTCGAAGCATCGCAAAATGGCGTGATGCAAGTGCAACGACATGCACTGTGGATCAGCTACCATTCGGCCAGAGCCATGCTGCACCGCACGCGCTTCTTTAGCCGAAACGCCACGCCCAGTGCGGTGGAGGAAAAGAGTCGAGCGCTGTGCATCGAGTCGGCCATCGAGATGATCAAGGCGCAACAATCTGTGCGCAAAGGGACAGGCATGGCGGTAGAGCTGTACAGCCGATCTTTTTTGGCTTCCTACCTCACCCTCGAACCTGCCACCACGCTAGTCGTTTCTGCCCTGACGGAAGTTGCCAAGACGCCAGGCGATGCTGCTCTACCGCACACGGTGGATGTGTACCTCGCTTGGGCACGACGAGGTCTGTTGTGTTTGGAAACGCTACCATCGGATCTAGACTTGGCTTCTCGTAGCGCGCACCTCCTCTCCCGCATCCTCAAAAAGGCAAGTCGAGTGGTAGAGATTCGAAGAAGAGTGCAGAGCAGCGGCGGCGGCGGCGGCGGCGCCTCATCGAATGGTGGTGCGGCGCACGCTCCAGAAAAGTGCAGAGGCGTGGCTTCGAGGGAGAGGGATGCTATTAGCGGCTTGATGTTTGACGAGGTTGGAAGACGTATTCCCATGCCGTTTTTGGAGCCGCCGCCCAGTAGTCGAGCGAGCAGGGCTGCTGAACGAAGAGAGGATGAGCAGAGGGAGAGGGAAGAGGAGCAGAGGTTGCGCGCGCTCAGTGCTCGGTCGGTCAACACCGATGCGTCGGCGTCGGCGTCGGCGTCCGCATCCGCATCGTCGGTCATGAGCATGGATGCGCTCAGTATCAGCGACCCATCACCCTCTACCGTCCAGACCAGTCCAGAAGGATCCACCCAATCGGACTTGCAAACGGGGCCCAACGAAGGGACGCATTCGCGCGAGCGCGAGCGCGAGCGCGGGTACGTGGTGGATGCGCACGCATTCGACGGCATGCAAATGCAAGTGGAAGACTTGGCTCTGCAACACGCCACCACCACGACCACCACTTCGCCACCGCCCTTGACCTTTGCAGAGATGGGATTGAGCTTTTTTGATGATCCTGCGGCACTTTTTGCGCCCGACACGACAACCACGACGACGACGACGATGATGATGGATTCTGGAATGATGTTCGACGCAGGCAACGCTCGGGGCAGCGCGCCTCTAGCGCCTTCGCACATGCCACCCATGTCTCCGCGCACCGAAGCGCTCTTGTCCGGTTGGGTCAGCATGGCTCCTGATCCTGATGCTGCTTCCGCACCTGCATTGTCCACCGCCTCATCCGCACCGACGTGCGCAGCGATCGATCAAGCCATGACTTCCAGGGTCGCTTCTGGCATGTCCAGACATGCTCAAACGGATGTAGAGCAGCAGCAGCAGCAGCAGCAGCAACAACAACAACAACAACATTTTGCCGCCACCGCGCACACTCCCAATCACGCTTCGTTTGAGCAGCAACTGGATGCCTGGTTGGCTATTCTTCAAGCACAAGGAGGGCTCGATGGGCAATGAGCGCCCCACGCGAGTGTACAATTTACGTCGACTCCTCTTCTTGTACACGATACATTGACTTTCACTCATCCTGTACATCATCCGTAATGGCCTGAAGGGAAAAAAACAAAACAAAACAAAACGAAATCCGCGCCGCGCCGCGCCGTGCTCCTCGCGGAGATGGCAATCGCTCACTCGGAGAAGAAATCGAGCGGAGTACTGCGAGATTGGATAGCGATGTAGTCGGTGGGCTGCGCATCGGGCGTCGAGCGAAGCTCGTTGGTGTACAACGAATGGTAGACCACATCACGTTCTTCCTCTCCCGGCCTGCGCACGAGTCGAGCCGGAGTGTGTGCGTGTGCGTGTGCGTGTGCGCGGGGGCAAGTGCAAGCAATTGAGCATG